AAGTATAATTCTAGTGATCCTCTTGGACTTCTTAGTAACATTCAGTACCATTGGAGCTGGGGATAATGTTTTACTGAGAATTTGGCAGGCTGTTTTCAGAAAGTGTCATTAGAAGGTATCACTACTGTTCTGTTTCTTGGCACTTTATTCTAATCCTAAAGTATATGGATTCTGTTTTATCATGTACAATTCCATTACTATTTGGACCAACTCAATATATTCCAAAATTTATTCAATCCCATTTGTTGTTGGTGGTGGTTTTTTTCTCAATGTATTAGGGCCATTTTTGTGCTAGCTGGACTAATACATTTTATACCAATTCTTGCCTCTTTCTTTATTATATCTTCAACATGATCTTAGTGGTGTTAAAACTGTATAGCAAGTTTTACACTCCCTCCAAAACTGTTATTTTTACATACCCATAACATATGGAAATACCCTGCTCTTAGTGAAACATAGCTCCAGAAGCAATATTCTCCAGTATATTTTTCTTGATTAATTTAAAGGAACCAGTTGTATATTATAAGTATTTTAAGATGAACATAGCATTGTCCTATTATTGTCACATTTTGATCTGAAATTCAAAAATTGTTAACATTAGATTGATTGTTGTACTTCAAAGATGGATATGTTCAGCTTGGTTATATTGTATTTTGAATCTAACCATGAAAGATGATTACACAACATTAGAAAGATCAATTTATTCATGACTTGCAGCAATGGAATGTTGATACATATTATTTGTCAACATCTGAATTAATAATTTTTCAACAAAGAGGCAAGCAAAGACATGAAAGCAATTCAATCAAATTTTGTGAAGTTGTTTTTTTAATGACATAATGTTCCAGACTGGCTGTCTTTATAATCAGGAAAAAATGGACTATATTATACATATTTGCCTGGGACTGATTGGTGTTTCTAAGAAGGCATGCATAGGATTCTTCCCTTTCCATTGTCTTCGCAATAACTCTGCCATGTTTTTGCTCTATTCCAGGGTTTATGGAAGAGGCTCAGAGGGTTTCCAAAACTAAGGTAGTAAGGTTTAATCAAATCTTTTTTCTTCCCTTTTTAAAGATTTAAAAGATGCCATTGAAGATGTCCTGCCAACTTTAAATAATGAAGGGATACGTGTTTTTTATCTGAGCAAGGATTCCCCAACTGAAGGTGTAGAGGCACTACTCGAACGGATCAAATTAAGCTCAGCTGAATCAGTGCCTTTTTCCTTCAGAGCCAATGTGACACCTAAATCTACATGCCTGTATATTTTTACCTCTGGGACCACAGGTGAGAAGCAAGAAACTTGGAGTGGTTGTGAGAGATCTGGAAGGATAAAACATGCTGTTGGCTAGAAAACTCTCTGAATTGAGTTCTGCCTATATCCTTGCATGATTGTCATGACATGCATAGCCTAGAGGCTAGGTCAGGGTTAGTCAACCAGACATCTTCCTTGTCTGCAAGGCTCCCTAATCCACCTGACATCCTCAGCGTTAGCATCAACACCATTGTTGACGATGACGTTGAATGGAAAGTGGCATTCTACAAAGCAGAGTACCAGCCTTTAGCTCACTGATCTGTGACCTTTTTGGCCAGTGGGTGCTTTTGAAATGTTGAGGTCATGTTATAATCACTATGTCTGCCATGAGGTCAAGCATGGCTGTGAACGGATTCTAAGTTATAATTTCTTGCTGTTTCTCTAAATTAATTGCACCCTTTCCCCCCCCCTTTTCTTTTTACTTTCCTCCAGGACTCCCCAAAGCTGCTAACCTTTCCCAGAAGAAAGTGTTGTTGGGGTCCCACCTGTTACGCCTGTGCCAAGTCCATGCCAAGGACGTTGTTTACATTCCACTTCCACTCTACCACTCAGCTGGACTCCTTGGGCTTGTGGGGTGCATAGACATGGGTAGGCACCAAATGGCCGGGGAGCCTAGAACACACCTAAAGAGACCTTCACTGTCAGAGTGTGATCAAGAGACACAGAGCTCTTATGTGAATGCAGCATCTACAGAGGACATCACAGCCTGCCCCAGATACTTTCCCAACAAGCCATTAATAGCTGCATGAATGAGTTAAGGAGAATGGGAGGAGGCAAGCAGGAAGACATGAAGGCTTATACTGTGGTGTCAGTTATTTATCCATCTTGATACAGTCATGATATACATCTCCAATATTGAATTCTAGCAAAAAGCAAACAAACCATAACATTGTATAATCTCGCAATAAAAATTAGCTATGCCAAGAACACTTTAACTGGCTTTCTGGCAGATTCAGAGGGAAACCTCCCTTCCCTGGAACAGTTTTGTAATGCAATTAAAATGTATTTATAAGACAGCAAATGGACATGCCATATATGAATGGTCATGCTGGGAGTATCAGGAGGAGGAGGAGGAGGAGGAGGAAAAGGAGGAATTTTTCTTGTTTTAACCATAGGCCACAACAAAAGTATATATGCATTTCAGGGGACAGACAGATACCTTAGCAGTATCCATTTCATACAGTGCTGTCATTTAAGTAGCAAAGCTGAGTTTACTTCATAATGAAAGGACATGAAAATTACACCCTTTTTATTTGCTAATTTGTTTATTGAAGTGTTTCTATCTTGCCAATTATTCCTAGTAGCTCATTCTAGGGCAGTTCATACTATCAGTTTTATGGAACACTTCAATTGGTAAAGGCTAACCAACTAAGCTAAAAAGCAGAAAACAACTAGTTAATTACCAAGTAGTGGGTGGATAGATGGGTGGACCAAAGATGTGTGACATCAAATGTTTTCTGATCACAACCATATAAATTTTATAAATAAATAAACCTAAATGGCCTATCTCTTGCCAGTGTCCCAGCCTATTTGGATATGATTGCAGAAGAATGACAGTCACAGGAAGCAGGAAACTTGCATGGGAGAAGACTTTTTATTTATGTATTTATTTAATTTAATTTATACCCTGTCTTTGTCCTCTTCAAATGTCCTGGGTCCAAATCACTTTAGGACGTTTTAGATAACTGGGGGGAAACTGCCATGAAAAAGTTGCAGCGTGGAGCGTTCCAGCTCAGGATTCTAACCAGCAATCCCACCAACTTCCTGAACTTTCTCTCTCTGTTTATGTAAGGGGCTACATGTGCTCTGAGATCTAAGTTCTCCGTTTCTCATTACTGGGATGACTGCAGACGTTACCATGTCACTGTGATCCAGTACGTGGGAGAAATGATGCGCTACTTGTGTAATGCACCAAAGGTAATTGATAAGCTAGACTAATACTTCAGAAAACAATATCACAAGGAATGATAGGAGATTGACTGTCAAACTGCATACAATAGAGTCCAGGCAATACAGTCATGTAACCCAATTCCCTCCTTCATTTCCTATTTCATGAAACATTGATAATTATAGTTGCCAGGTAGAAGCTCATACATATGCATCTGTATAGCTTTATATTTATATATAAATCTATATATTTATATAGCTATAAAGGAAAAAAAAGAATGGTATTATTGCTAATCTCTGACAGAAGAATAGTGCTGAATCTTTACAGGGGAATATATATTTGTAATATAGGTTGATGCTATTGTGCAATGGCACTGTTCTTTTGTATATTCCTCAGAGCAATCAGTGTCTTGGCAGGCTGACAAACACTGAAAAAGAGCTTTGGGAACTGATTGAAAGACAGGTATATGGAAGGGAAAACTAGGAGGGGCATTCTGGGAAGGGTGCCCAGGAGTTTAAAAGTGGCCATATGAAGCCAACAGGCTTAGGGTTGCTTAGCTTTGTCTTTGATGACCAGTTTGATTTGAAACTGGCCACTTTCAAGGTTGAATGAATCTCTGGTAAATCTGGGGAATTCTCCTCCAACCAAGGATTACAGGGAGTTTTCAAAAGCAGAAATATTTGATGAGAGTCTGGGAGGCTGCTTGATGATGGCCATTTTTCTGTTGAGGAGTGGGAAGGGAACAGTCATTGTCACAGAAATGAAGCCAACATGGTGTTTTAGCAACAGTCATTTGCTTGCAAATGCCCCTCAAATTGAGCTCACATATTGTGGCATTGCTGAGTAGAAAAGTCTGCTAGAAAGTGGGTAGTTCCTGGTGTTTCTGCTAGGCCTTAGGCAACTTTGGGTCCCTGATACTTGCTTAAAGATGCTACCCAGTAGTACTAAGAATAAGTGGTATTAATCAGAATTTGGAAACCAAACTTGTTTCATTCATCTACTGGTGACATGGATTCTGATCTGTTTATATTAACTGCATCATAGCTATGCAGCTGTAGTCTGAACCAGCTAAAGTCTCCTCATAGACTTTATAAGCTAATTGTAAACAATCTTTATGGACTGCCACTCCTTCCTGACAACTTGTAGGATGTTCTCCAAACAACTTCTTAAAGTTTTCCCTGCTTGATCAGTTGGCATAGCTGCTGCTAACATTATTTTGGACAGCACTAATCTCCTTGATATCTCACATTGCAGAAAGACAGTGACCGTGACCACAGTGTGCGAGCAGCCATCGGCAATGGGATGCGAGTGGAGGTTTGGAAGGAGTTCCTGAACCGATTTGGACCCATCCAAATCTATGAACTGTATGGAGCTACCGAAGGAACTGCTGGATTCATTAATTACACAGGAAAAGTTGGAGCTGTGGGAAGGACCAGTTTCTTCATCAAGGTAATGAGAAAGTCTTAGGATATCCATAAGGTTAAAGCCAGGTTCTCTCTGGAACTGAAAAAAAGTCTGGGTCACTTCTAACTACTTAGGCCCCTAGCCAGAATATATATAGAACTATAGACACAGAGAACTATATGAGACAAAATTTGAGTATTTTAAGAAAAAGACATACAGCCCCCAAACTCAGCACTTTCAAGCTTCTCTCTGAGTCTAAGGAATGGTCTGAGGCCAGTTACCCCTTCTGCTTTCAACTGTTGTCATTATTCTCCAAAGGCCACAAACAGATATCATTGGAATGCATTGGCTTTTCTTATTTTGGAAGATTTGGGATTTTTTAAAAACACAAAGTTAGTACATTAAGCCTCCCAGGGGTGTAATTTTTCAGAGAAGCACATGGGATGGTCAGCTGCTGAGAGAATTATGCCAGTTCTAATGTTTTCCTCCAAAGATGCTCCAGACAGAAGCATTAGGCTGTGGGGTACTCCAGGGAGTCCTACATGACCAATTTTCTGCTACAGCAATAGCAGGAAAACACCAGGGCATCTCTTGAAGACTCTTCTAGGTCAATAAGCCTTGCTCTGAAGTTGTCTTGTGTGGTGGCCATAGCACAGGCAGTAGCTATGGCACCTCATCATTTTGCACCCTGTGGACCCCTCAGTGAAGTCATTTGGCCAGAAAGGAAACAAAACTCCCAGCCTCACCAGCACTGACAAGGCAGGCCACAGCACATAAATAGAGAGCAAACCCCATCCCATTTTAGCCCTGAAGATGTTACCGAGCCGGGCAATGAAACGTTTGCAAGAAAAGAACCAAGTTCAGAGAACCCCAAGGACCCCACAGAAAGGAAAGGCTGGAGTAGTGGCTGACCACTTAATTGGTTGGGATGCAGGTCAGTGGGGATATAAACCTGGGGGGGGGGATTGGGAGCAGACCAGCACATGCCTGATGCAAGTGGTTGTCCTCTTGCCTCTAGCAGTGACTTCTCTTTGCCCACCTCAAAGAATGTGGGGGATATCAGTCCCAACGTACCTGACTCTCAGCCTAACTACATCACAGGATGGTTCAGAGGAGAAAGGGAGAGACTTTAGCTCTGTAGGGTTTAGCTGGGCCTCTTTATCCCACGTGAACTTCCTTGTTCCTTTTGCTCATTCATAAAAATACGTTGTTGTTGTTCTCATTGTTATTTTTAAATCCATATATTGTGCCTATCTTCGATGTCTGTTTCTGGGCTCACATTACTATGCCTTGCTTGTTCATTTTCAGAAACTATATAATTATAAACTTGTGCAATACGATGTGGACGCAGAGCAGCCTGTGAGAGATGAAAAGGGGTTCTGTATTCCAGTGACTACAGGTAAGCTGTCTAAGACAGACCAGACAAACAGAAAGGCAGACACATTTAAGACAGACCAGACTTTGCATTGTCAAGATCCTCCCCCCAACCCCAGAGGAAGATACATGGCCTTCAGTGCCTTTTTTCCAAACCTGATGCCCTCCAAATCAGTTAACATATTGGGCTTCAACTGCCATAACCCCAGGCAACATCAGGTCTACGACATTTAGTAATACGATATATTACTAAGAGAAAATTCTCATACGCACCTTTCTTTAAAAAAAATAAATCTGTTTTTTTTAAACTTTCTTTAACCTTCACTGTTTCAGGGGGTAAAAAAAAAATCAAGATGGCAGCCGTGATTACGCCATCAAAGCCCTGCCCCTTTTAATGTGCATCAAGGCATGTAAAGAAAGGGTGGAGTTTTGATCAGGAGATTGCGGTCCCATCTTGACCTTTTTGACAACTGTTGTCCCCCATGGACATTCCTGCACTGTCTTTACCCCAACTTTCTATAGTACCTGCTGCCTTTCCATAGATAATAAGCTTGGCTTGCATCTTTGTATTGCTTAATGCAAGGGCTTCGATTCAAGAATGAGAGCTGCTAGCAGACTCAAAGCATTGCTGTGATGGCACTTTATCGATGGTTCCTACCATTTTTCTCTGTAGAAGATCTGTGGCAGTTTTCTTATATATTCTAGTGCTAGTGCACCACTTGTGAAATGAAAAAAAAAATCCTTTCCACAAAGCTTAGTAGAAATGGAAATATGAGATTCTCTTGCTTCTTGTTCAATGTGAGTCAGACCTCATGTCAAATCAGTACATATGACTACAATACTTTCATAACTGCAGCACATATTGTATTTGGAACATATATGGACATGGCTACTTGGGAAGTAAAAATCAGAAACATAAACCAAAGTAAAGGAACATTCCATACAGACTGGACACAAGGCAGACGTTCTGGACTACAGTCTTTAGAAGATCACTTTGTAGGTAGAATGTATTTACAAAAATCCCTTCAGGTCTTAAGGACGACATGAAACTTTTCCCATTTGCACGTATGGCACCAACACACTGTGGTTGCAACATACTGCTGGCGGAGGGGTGGGGGTAGGGGTGGGGGTGGGGGGAAGCATGTCTGCATGACGTTGCCTTCCCTTCATCCCAGGCCCGTGAGTGAGACAAGCTTGAGTCATTCTTAGCTATGCTGATGTTCATGTTGTATTTTCCCTCTTATTCAGAGACAGTCTTTATCTGTTAGGTTCCACCATCCATTATCCTGGAGGGCAAACAGGTGAATGCCATGACCAGGAGCAAAGGCTAATCCAGTAGTGCACAATAGGGAATGGTAGCAGCGGCAAGCAAATTTCATGTCAGTATAGTTTTCAGTGGATTCAAGGGGGAAAATAGTGTTTCAGGTCAACAGTGGGGAAAGGTATATAGACTACATACCTCTCATTAATTAAAGAACATTTGGGAGTGGGGTTTGTAGACTGCCTGCTTTTTTTTTTTAATGAACTGGATGGTATCTGCAATATTCTTATACTCTAAATAATTAGATCCATATAATTAGATGAAATAATAACATTCAGGATAGGAGAGAACTTTTGATGTTAGTGAGAAAATGAACCTCAGACAGCTTTGTTCAAGAAAACAAGACTATGGGTTAGCAGTACAGATGTAGACTATTTCATATTTTAATAAAAAGTTTTTTAACTCCACTGGCTTCATCAGTATAGTGTTAATTATATTGTGGTTACATACATTGCATATGTTTGTCCTTGTAAAAGGCTACTAAGATTCTAATATTTGTGACCTTGTAACTCATGCTGGGTTACTGTTCTCTGTGGTAAAGGGAGTATCTGAAATGCGTAGGAGAATAAGTGCACACATAACAAACAGCTGGTTGTGAGTTTAAGAGTGGATTGCAAAACTGAGGAAGAAATGCAGTGCAACAGAATTTCCTGGAAAGGGTGTGGTGGGCAATTTAAGCCAAGATAAGCTTGCACTGCGATATCATCTTGACTAAGGGCTATGGATAGATGTCATCCGTGGGACTAATAGATCGAAGACCTTGGGTTTAAAGCAGTGTTGTCCAAACTTGGCCACTTTAAGATGAGTGGACTTCAACTCCCAGAATTCCCCCGCCAGCCTGCACATGGCTGGTTTAGGTATTTTGGGGGTTGGAATTCACTCATCTTAAAATGGGCAAGGTTGGGAAACACTACTTTTAAAC